TTAAAATTAAAAAAAAAAACGAAAAAACAAGAAAACAACAAAATACCTAGTTAAATTATGTAAAATAATTTTTGGCGGCCGTTATAATCAAATAATTGTGGATAAGTAGATACACATATGCATTATATAAAAAAGTTTAAGATTTAAGTACATAAATATGTAAATCGAATAGTTATTAAATAAAAATTTTCACACCAAATATATAGTCTCAGTGCAAAAGAAAAATAATTAAATTAAAAATATTTTTTTTTTTTTTGCGAAAAACAGTCGTGTAAGTATTTATGTATATATCTATACTAACTAAAAAATTTAAAATTAAAGAATGTCAGCGAAATGGTTACATCTATGAAAAATAATCAGCCTTATCATGAGTTTCATTTTCCCCGAACCGGTACAATTTTCATGTTCGGTTTCCAAGCATTTAATATGGGCGGAATATAAATTTTCTGGTGAAATTTTTTTCGGGCGAAACTCAGGCTATGGCAGAATATGTAAAGCTTTATAACAATCCAGAAAAAGGCAAAAGGAACTGATGCCCCTGTATTTGTGTGACAACGCGCACCGCACAAATTATAGAAGAAGTGTTCCTCAGCATACATATATATATATGTAAAGCACATTTATCGAGAGAGATCTTTATTGCACTTTGTCACTAACAATCTGTTTAATCAACGCTTGTCGCAAGGAAAATTCGCCGTTGTATTTCGGTGCTCTACACGTGTCACAAAACCCACGTTGCCTTTTAATACTCCGACTTATGGGTCGATTATGGATGGCAATGCAACCGCAGTTATCTCGATCAAAATTTCTGCGGCAACCACAAAAATGCAGTTGCCAGTTGCCATCTGTAATACTATACATAGGTCGTCACGTTGTGCTGTTTATCAGACCAGCTCTCACAATTGTTATGTCAGGCGTGCTACTGTAGCTGCCCATATTCTTGGTGGGTGCGTCGTCGCACAGTGTTGCGAAACCGGAATTTTTTGGAAATCATATTGCCTAAACTGTAATTTTAATTGTATCGATGAGAAACTTCTACAGATTGGTCAGAATGAAATCCCAAACAGAATGAGTGAAAAAAAAATTTACACCGAAAAAAATTGTTGGGTCAAATTTTCAACAAAAGTCAAAAAAAAAAAAATTGTTCGAAAAATTTACAAAAAAAATTTATTTTAATTGTTCTTTTATTTCTGATAAATACCCTATGATTAGTTTTTTAAATAAACTATAGGGTGGTCCGAACAAGAATTATAAACGTCAAATTTTCATGATTTTTCGATATTTGTTGAAAAACTCTGAAATTTTATATAAAACCAAAATCTATTTCATTTCTTATTTGAAAGGTGGCAATAAAATTTTTAATTTGATACCGGTTTGAAGTCAATAGCTTCAGTTTTAAGAGAGTTATGCTCATTTTTGTGGAGTGCTAGAATAGATGTAGAATAACAAAAAAAAAATTTGAAGATACTATTTTATAACACAGGCATATTTTATTGCATTCTACAGAAAAATTACAAATTATCAGTCATCTACCAATAAGTTCATTGCTTCCTCTGATAATTCCAGGTGTTTCTTCTCCTTCAGTATTCTCCTACTTGTGATTGCGGGATCAGAATTGGCGAGCAGATAATGTAATATGTCTTCAAAATTGTCTTTTCTTGATGTTTTCCTCGCATGGTAAAGCCTTGTGTTTCTGAAGTCCTTGTTTCCTGCTTCCAATGCTTCTTCTGATAGTTGGCCAATGGGGACCAAAAATTAACGAATTATTTCAGCTCCATGAATAAGAAAACACTGAAGATGGCGATTAGCCGAAACCGGTCTGAAAATAATAAAAATTTGACGTGGGATGACGGAAAGTCACCCGAAAACCTATATGATTAAATTATTCAATAAGTGATTCCGAGAATTTCCGTTCTATTTCTATGGAATAAATACTGAGAGTGATATACTAAAATCGCTATAACTCCCAGGAGGGCAGGTATGGGCAGCTGATTTTTTCACAGTTCGTTGAAAACAAATTATGTAACATTTCTGTAGTGGTTTGGAACTGGGACTCTCTGGGACTTTTTAGATATTGCTTACCTAACCCAAATTTAAAGGAAAAATGGACCTTTAGTCGGGTTTTCGCTCTAAAAAAGGTGCATATGAAAATGTCTCAAACAACATTCCTTTTTTTTTACAGAAGATACTTGTCCGAAGGCAGATTTTTTTTCCGAATCAAAATATCTGTCACCAAAATCAAATGAGATCATTTTGAATACAGCCCTGAAATCCCCTCTTTTCGTGAAAATTTTGTATATTTGACTTCTAAAATCAATTAAAAATCAACGGGCCAACATAAAAATAAGCTTTATGTGTTTTTTGTTTACTTGGAATGTCTGTGACAAAATTGCATCATTAAAAACACTGAAAAAAATAATCGGAAAAAAGTTACTTTTCCACTAGCCGCAACACAGTGCGTCGTTCAGTGTGCAGAATGTCGAATAGTCTATCAGCTCAGCCAATAGGTTTCCCCTAAGATCATTCGACAGGCTTGAGTGCCAAAGATCGTGGTGCGCGTTGAAGTCACCGACTACCATACGGTTTTCATCTCTATTTCCGGGCGATATCCTGCCCGAACTCGAGTTTGCCTGGCCGAATAGCAATACTCTGGCATTCTAGGGTGGTATACCCGCGGTCGATGCCTGCTTCGGTGGGAAGATACTGCACGGTGTGTTGGTGCATGATGAACGCTAGGTGTGTTGAATTGCTGTGCAACTTCGTCTCTCGGATCGCAGCTATTAGTATTCCATGCTGGCCCATGAAGACGGTAATCTCCTCGATCTTGCTCTGTAGTCCGTTACAGTTAAACTGTAGGATCTTTGTGTGCCTTGGGAGACTGATTGCAAAGTGTGGTATTAGGGAGTTGTTATGCCTGCCGGCCGCCTGCTGGGTGTGCTGCCTTGGGGTGGTAGTGGGCGTCGCCCCGGGGGAAGTTAGCGACTCAGCAACACAGCAGGGGCCCACATAGGTCACTCGTCCAATATCGCGTAGTTCACAGTCCGAAACATGCCCTAAAGTGGCACCAGCCAAGGCGGCAATTGCTCTTGACTGATGTCACGTTACGGTATATTCTGGACCAACACACCGAGCATATTGTGTAAACGCGAGTGATTCTGGTACGTTTTTCTGTTGTTAGGCGCTGTTTAGGTTTTCAGTGATTTAATCAGATACACGCTGAAAACTTAAAAAGCGTTTGAACACCTAAAAATCCTGGTATGGAGTTCTATCCTTAGCAAAGAAAGTAAAGCANCGGTGGGAAGATACTGCACGGTGTGTTGGTGCATGATGAACGCTAGGTGTATTGAATTGCTGTGCATTTTCGTCTCTCGGACCGTAGCTATTAGTATTCCATGCCGGCCCATGAAGACGGTAATATCCTCGGTCTTGCTCTGTATACAGTTACAGTTAAACTGTAGGATCTTTGTGTGCCTTGGGAGACTGATTGCAATGTGTGGTATTAGGGAGTTGTTATGCCTGCCGGCCGCCTGCTGTGTGTGCTGCCTTGTGGTGGTAGTGGGCGGCGCCCCGGGGAAAGTTAGCGACTCAGCAACACAGCAGGAGCCCACATAGTCACTCGCCCAATATCGCGTAGTGCGCAGTCCGAAACATGCCCTAAAGTGGCACTAGCCAAGGCGGCAATTGCTCTTGACTGATGTCACGTTACGGTATATTCTGGACCAACACCTTTAGCATATTGTAGGAAGGGCTAGGAGTTGACGGCAGCGGTTGTGTCCGTGAGTGTGTCTATGGTTGCGTTGTGTTGGGGTGTGGTTGAGTTGGTGTTGTGTTGCTCGGGCGAACTCCGGTGTGCCGCGAAGGTGGTCCGGTTTTCACAGCATGGGGCCACGAACGACGAAGTCCACTGCCGGTGAGTTCTTAGGACCAAGCAAGTACGGTCGTATCTGGCATACGCAGAAGGTGTATGTTCCTGGCCCTGGATTTGACTCTATGTCAGCCCTAAGCAGGAGAATACTGAGCAGATGTAAGCCCATGGACGAACAACGTTTGAGAGATATCGCCGACCTGAACGCGGGTAGATCGCCGAAACAACAGCTCTTAGTCAAGTAAAACGCGAGTGATTCTGGTACGTTTTTCTGTTGTTAGGCGCTTTTTAGGCTTTCAGTGTTTTACTCAGATACACGCTGAAAACTTTAAAAAGCGTTGAACACCTAAAAATCCTGGTATGGAGTTCTATCCTTAGCAAAGAAAGTACAGCAATTTTTTTTTACGAATTTTTCACATAAACTTACTGGTAGTGAACGCCATTTATTTAATTATTTCGATAATGCTTCAATTGCAAATGTTAGATTGGTATTCATTTAAATTTACATGTTTACAAGCTACCATTAAATATAACGTAATTGTTAATATTAAGCATAAAAATACTCTTTGAGTTTACATCTGTAGGTTGTCGGAGTTTTCACTTTCTACAACGCAAAAAAAAAAAATATATGAGCGCCTTAAACGCTTGCGAAACTCCAGTGCGGAAATTAAGCCTGTACTCTAGGCGCTAATTATGTATTAATTATGTATACTCGTATAAATGAACTTCACATATTTATTACTAAATTTCAATAAAAGTGTCTAATACAAATAAACATGAAGAGAAAAAGTGATTAATCTACGAATAATAAAACAGTATATATATAACAGAAAAGAAACCTCTAAAGTAATACTTAAATATAGTGAAAGATACTTCTAATCTCACTTAGCATAAATAACGCGCGCAGTTTAATTCTATGTATATATTTCCACACTTAATGTTTACATAAAACTATTTATATTCATAGTTATTTCGATTTCAGGAGTAGTAGTAGTAGTTAAAAAAGTTACCCACATATAGAACTTATCATCATCATTTTCCTTCGACTACTTTATGTACAGAGCCTACTTATGTATGTATGTATATAAGATAGAGCATTTTTACTCGCTTGCTTATCTCCTTTTATGCNATCATCATTTTCCTTCGACTACTTTATGTACAGAGCCTACTTATGTATGTGTGTATATAAGATAGAGCATTTTTACTCGCTTGCTTATCTCCTTTTATGCTATATTAATTGTTGAAGAAAAATATCGCTTCAAAATCATTTATTTACAAAATTTTAAACACCGCTTCTACTGTTGTGCTTCTTTATCGGCACTAGGCGCTGGCGTCTGCTCCTTCATCGACTCAACTTTCGCGACAATCTTTAGCGCTGGTCCCAACTTCATGCCCATCGCATTCACTAAATGATTCTCCTTGAGCAACATCAATGCTTGTCCATCAATTTCTTGCTGTTCAAAATCATCCACATAGTCCAAGCAGCCAGGCAAATGGCGTATGAACTCGCATACTTCAGCCACACTCCAATCGGCCATTGCCGGGCGTTCGGCAGGTGTGGCCGCTGCATGCGACCCACCAGCAGATCCGGTTGCTGCAGAAGCTGCAGCTGCGGCAGCAACAGCATTGGCGGCCGCAACATTGGCCACCTGTTGCGCCTCAGCAGCAACAACGGCAGCAACAGCTGCTGCATTTTCAAGCCTAGTAGCGCCATTTTGGGCAGCACTATTGCTGTAGGCAGTGATTGGCGCCGACGGTATGGGTTCAGTTTGCATTTTCTCAGGTGCAGCAGCATTATTTGCGTTGCTCGTAATACTGGAGATTTCAGCAGTGGCCTTGGCATCTGCACCAGCATTCTGGTTGCTTGCCACAGTATTGCTCGTATTGCTTTGGGTGGGCGCCTCTGTTGGTTGCTCGCTCATGGAAGCCTTCGATTGACGGGCACACGTTAGCGAGCAGAAACGTTTCTTCTTCAGCTTAGCTTTGTGCTCAGGTTTGCCGCAATGCTCGCATGCGATCATGTCGGGTGGTAGAGAAGTCTGTCCGTTGGTTTGATTGATAGCATTGTGCGAATTCTCGTCCATAGCCGATTTTTTCTCTGCAAAATGATAGATTAGTGTAATGTGGATTTAAGAGTATGTGGGGGAAAAATGGTAATACTTACTGGGCGGTTCGTCGTCCGCATCCTTATCTGCGTAGCGTTGCCGTGTCACGGGGAATGGTTCGTTGGCCTCTTGTATTATAAAACCATCTATGACATGTGTCAACACATTGGGCTTGATCATGGCTTTCGGGAGGTCCTTTTCCACTTTTACGCTTGCCACACTGGATGTGTTCTTGGGCATGGTGGTGGGTATGCTTGTCGAGACTGCATTCGTTAGTTTAGCAGCTGGAGTAGTAATTTCGTCATTTGCAGAAGATGCAGTTGCTGCGGCTTTTTCAACCTCAGCGTTGCCGGTTTTGATGGGGTCATTTGAGCGATTACCAACAGTGCCTGTGAGGAGTTATTGGATTTTTTTTTTATTTATTTAAGAAAATGATGGAAGTAAAAATTAAAAAAAAAAACCAAAGAAATAACAAAATAAAATTTATGAAACTATAAATTTGACCCCATTCACTCTACCTTTAGCNGGTGTTGTATCCATTGCAATTGGAGTTTTAGCTGCTTCTGCATTCGGTGACGACGACGACGACGACGAATTGGCAGTCGTTGCCACAGTAGCGACAGTGCCACTAACACTCGTAGAATTAGTTATGTTAGATTGTGGCTGATGTTGGTTCTGTTGTTGTTGCTGCTGCTGCATTGTGGATGAGGATGACGATGACGACGTCGCTGATTCTATAATAGGCGGCTGTTGAGGTGCGGTAACTTTGGGTGAGCCCAATGCTGCCTTTGCTGCTGGTTCCTTCAATTCCGCCGACGCTGATGTCGCTCCCGCTCCAACCGAAATCGCGACCGTGGAATTATTATTTAAACTGCTATTCATTTGATTATTTTGATTGGCCGACGAAGTGGCCGATGAAATTTGCATTGCGCGAGTGGCTTCTGATGCAATACCACCCAACAGCGACATATGTGAGGGCGATTGCATGGACAAAGTGTTTTTGTATTGTTGTTGCAATTGTTGGTGCTGCTGTTGTTGTTGTTGATGCTGCTGCTGTTGTTGTTGTTGGTGCTGCTGCTGTTGTTGTTGGTGTTGTTGTTGCTGCTGCTGGTCATTTGCGAGCGACTTGATAGGTGTGCTGGCTAACGAGGAAACGGATGTCACACCACCAGCACCTCCGGCGCCGCTATTTAGAGGCGAAGACATGGTGGCTGACGCTGCAGCAGTTGATGTAACCGGCGAGGACTGTATGCTACCGCCCATGGATGCGT